TTCCCTAAAATGTGGGCAACAAGATAGAAGACTTCTGCAAACCTTTTCCTGATTGCCAGAGTTCCATTGAACTAACAGAACTATATTTCATAGACTTGGACATTGTTGCTTCTCTAGGTTATCAAGTGTCTCAAAACGACATAAGTGTGGTTTTTTTTCTACCCAACCTGTGTCAGTTCTCTTCAGCTGCCTGTGTGGTATCAAGATTTGTGGCTCCTCAGCAAATTACATGGTGAACTAAGGGCAGACAGAGCTGGAGGCAGTAGTCCTGTGCTTTCTTAACAGCCTAAGGTTTCAGGACATGTAATGCCACCTAGTAGAGAATTTGTGGAGCTTTTTGGTTGGGTTTCTTTCGTTGCAAATCTTTTTGTTTGCAGTCACATTTTTCTTTCGTTATAAATGTCTGTGAAGTCAGATTTTTGGCATCTTTCAGCTTTTGCTTTTAATAAAAAGTTTCTAAAGGGTATTCTGCACATAGAAGGATGGAATAGAGAAGGAGACCATAAGAGGATTTTGCAGGTATAAAGGCTTGAAATTTGTTGTCTTCTAAATGGAGAGAGAGAGGACACAAAACAGGAGCTTTTCTTTGAACAGTCTGATATTTTAGTTACTTTGTGTAATTAAACCTATTAAGTTCTGTTCTGGAAGAATTGTGTTCTTTTGGAATCCTTTAACTTCTAATTCATCTCATCTCTGACTGCATTGCATTATTTCTTGCTTGCAAGTAAATAAGTTGACTTTCTTGTAGTTTATTTTGCAGATAATTTCAGATGCAATTCAGTTTTCCTCTGTTGGCTTTTTTCTTTAACTTGCTCCTAAATGCATAAACATAAGCATGTACTAAATAATTATGTCACATGTGTGGTATATTACAATAATATGCAAAGCTTCTTATACTTGAAGCAACTTCAAGTGTTAATAGAAAAGATTTATATTCAAAATAAAATAACCCATGAAAAACACATATTGTGTCCAGATACAGGGATCACAAAGCATTACAGGTAATTTGATTCATAAATATTTTCCTATTCTGCAAAGTAAAAATGGTTCTATCAAAATTCCATATCATTCTTAATTTGGATTGTCACATGTAATGCAGTTACCTAGCACTCCTCATCTCTAGACACCAGGCTGCTTTCCAGGGAAGGTAAGTATTGCTGTCCTCCAGTTTACAAATGGGGAAGGTGGAGCACAAAGCAGTGAAATGACCTTGCTCAAGGTCACCCAGTAGTGGAAAGGCAGAGTCTGGAAGTGAAGCCAGGCACTGGATTGTGCAGGTGCTGTCTCTTAGATTGCACTCTGCTTTAGCGACACAAGCTGGCATCTTCGGATCTTGTCATTATTACCAATGATTCCTTCAGAGAACATGTTTATGTATGGCTGCCAAAATAAGAATCAGTCTGGAGATCAACCAATATTTGCTACATTATTTTACAGTACATAAGATTTTCTTTTTTGAAGTCCAAGTATAAATAGAGTCACTAAAAAATTACTCTGCATTGGCTTTTTGAATTTTCTTTTATATTTCTCCCTTTTTTAATGTTGGCTGTGACATCTGTTAAAATGCGTGTAGCTAAATGTAGTTTTACTCTGATTAGAATTCATCACAAACCCTTCCAGAAGAGTCTCACAGTAGCTGGATCATGTGAATGAGTAGACTCTGCATCTGCAAACTGAAAAACACATGTTTTTTTAAAAAACCCAAGCATTTCCCAGTTAATGTAACAAAGCTAACCAAGTTTCAGCTAGTATTTGCATTTTCTAAGATAAAACAAATATATACATATTTGCAATATATACTGAATGGAAGCTTCTTGTATTTCAGCTACCCCTAAATGAAGAACTGAAAATCCTATAAAACTTAATGCTTACCTTCAAAACGTGTGTAGTTTGAGCCTGGTAAAGTACATAACTTTCTTCTCCTTTAGAATGAAGTCACCCTGCTGAGAAATGAAGTGGCACAGCTGAAACAGCTTCTTCTGGCTCATAAAGATTGCCCTGTAACTGCCATGCAGAAGAAATCTGGCTATCATAGTGAGTAATGTTCCATTACCTGTAGCCTGAGGCTGCATCAATGAAATACTGCCAAAATGAATTGAGTGAGCATTAAAATTGAGAGGTGCAGTTCTAATATTATATAAAAAAGATCTTTAATGTAATATATGTAATCTTGAAGTTATTGGAAGACGGGAATTAATATATGATATTTAAAAATATATGTTTAAGTCAGAATGGAATTGTTGCATATCATTCAACGGTTTATGTTGATTTAACGAATGCATATTATAATTACCATTTAAGGACTAGGGGTTACTACACTTGCTTTGGAAAATGTAATTAAAGTATTAAGAACACATGATAAACCATTTTTTATACTTTATCGCAGCCTAATACAGCGAAAGGTCCTTGTGGCTGTTTTCCTTTCATTGTAATGAGATTTCAGTGGAGGTACTATAACAGCTGTCCTCATTTACCATAACATCCAGGATCAGTCGAGCCATTAAAATAATCAGATGCAGGTTCATGGCTTCTACTGTACAATGTCTTCTAGATTGTTTTGATATCCACATTAAGTGACTGCTTTTCTATAGAGAGGGTGTTTTAAAAAACAGTTCTGTTATTGAGGGGAATACTGACACTGTAAATACCAATATTTTCTAATCCATATTTTTATTTTTAGTTGTTCTCTTGACTTTTCATCCTTCCAGCATTTTAAAGGTTAATTATGCTTTCCTGACTTGTAGCTTCCTTTTTGGCTGTGATACACAGTGCCAGAACCAGCTGCTGCTGCTGTAGAATAAATGGCCAATTTTGTCCATTGTACACAAATTTGTTACAAATAACTGAGCTGGGAATGCATTAGGCAACATTCATAATATATAACCCACAGCTTTCGTTTTTATGATTTAGTGATATTTCAAGATATTTGTAAATGTGAAGATTGTTTCTGCCATATGTAGCCACTTCATTTTAATTTGCCAGTGTCAGTAATTCAGGAGAATAAAGGAACATTTTGTACTGCATGCAAACAGATCCTCAGGTGCTTGCGATAAAACTTAATAGCCACCATCTTTACTTGTAGTCATTGTAAGCAATTTCATCAGAATGGGCAATATTTTTTAATTTAAAAGATTCAGGAGATTTAGCAACTCTGTATTGCCATATATATTTAGAATACTGATTTTGTCAGTTTTGAGCTTGTAAATCTTGGTCCTTTGATCTCCAGTCATTTTGACAAGACAGAAAATAGCATCTCGGAGTAAATTGGAACAGTATAGAAATACGTTTGGGATTTATATTAACAATGATTGCTGCAGGGATGAGGCCATTATGGCTCCCATCTGACAGAACAACATAATTTCATACAGAAGCTACTAGGGGATAGCATTATGCATGCAAGGTTTTTAACAAAAAAAAAAAAAAAAGGCAAAACACTGTAAGTTTCTTGAATTTTGATGCTTTGAGGATTCATGTTCCTGAATTGGGATGTAAAATATTTCATTGTAAGTTATCAACTGTCAAGGTGATTCCATGCCAAGGATTTCTTTGTTGAAGGATTAGTGAATGGCCTGTCTAGTAGAGCTTGTTTTCAGCCCTCAGTAAAGGACTATAATGCTTCTGATTTAGTAAAGAATAGAAAATGAATCAGACCTAAAGTACTAATCAGTGGCAAAAGCCTACATTTAGAAAAAAATAGTATTACACTAGGAAATTGGAAGCATATCTCAGTTTCTTGAAAATTGTTTTGAAAGTAAAAGCTTAACATGAATGATAGTTTTAATGCCATCCTTCTGAAAGGATTCTTTCACATTATCTCTGCATGAATATTGTTAGGAAAGCATGTTGGCTAAGTGACATACCCACAGTACAGTTTATAAGAGGAAAAAATTATTTCAGTCAGTATGTTCCTGAAAATTACATTCTTATAAAATATATTTAAACATATTACATTCATCAAATAATCAAAGTTGAATTGCTTCAAAAATGTAGGGAGTGGTTTAACAGTCTTGTCTCTGTGGAAGAAATTGAAGACCCCAGCTTAAAGAGCTCCTGCAGTGCTAAATATTGTGCACTGCATAGACCACGTTATAACAATTTGATAACTTTTCATGTATTATGCTCTTAAATAGGAACAAATAATCTATCACTTGGCCCTTATTTTTACATGTCTTTTAAGATCTTTTGTATTTCCCAGGCACATTTTTTTTTCTCAGCCCTTTCTTCTAGAATTGTTTTGGGGATCACATTTTCCTTATTTTGAAGTCTTGTGCCTGCTTCAAAAGAGGGTGTCATCAAGACAGAGGAACCAGAAAAATGTATACTGTACTTTGAGTCAGCCTCAAAAAAACTCAGTCAGCTTAAACTTTTTTATTTTCCAGAGAGGGATGCTGTTGGTTCTGACTGCATCTTCAGCTGTGGTGGGGAAATACAAGAAATCTAGATGCTGTTCATTTGTTTTTCATGTTATCTTCTATACTAGATAATTTCTAAAAGTCTTCTACAATACTCCTGAATTTTGTCAGGATTTTTCTGGGCTTGTAGTAGGACAAAGGTGAAAATTGGTGAGAAGAAAATGTGTTGTGGTATTCAGAGGGTTGGGTTTTTTTTAAGGCAGAAGGAGTTTTTTAGGGGTTTTTTTCATATTTTTGACAAGGACATCATAATATTCAAGAACATTTGTTCAAACGGAATATAAAAGAAGATAAATAGAGGCTGTGGTGTAAGCGGTGCTAAATGGGGGGCATTGTGTTCTTTCTGTAGCTAGTTTTAAAAAGGAAGATAGAAGGTGACTAACCAGTTTCAGACCTTGAATGATTTGAACCTCTTAAACCACTGTGTTCCTGCAGCCTGTTCTGGACAGGCAGTGGTTTTTCAGTGCCTGCAGGGAATATTCACAAAGGGCAATTCCCTGGAAAAAAGCATTTCTAGGCCTAGGTCCCGCTGTAGTCCCTGAATGGCCTGATGAGAATTACCATGAGGCTTCTTCCTTGTTAGGGATTATCAGAGGAGTGAAAGGAATTCAGGATCATGTCAGTGCTTGTGTCCTCGCTCCTGTTTTGGTGTAAGTGTGTTTTTTTTCTTCTGAAGACTGAAATCCCACCCTCTTTGTTTGCTTACCTTACTGAAAGCTGTTGGTAAGCAATGTTTTCCAATACTGCTGGTAAGAAGCAAACATCAGCAATGTTTGACTACTCCAAAAGGGTACGTTTTAGTATGTCCTCAAAAGTCTGTGCCTGTTTTGGTGCTCTTTAAATCTTTCCTATAGCCCAGTCTAACCCACATTGTGTTCCATATCCAAAGTGGCTTGCTCCTCCTGACACAGCCTATCTAGGAACTATGGAGCCTTCAGGAAAGTTTGTATGATGTAGCTCTGTAAATTTTCAGCCTTCTAATATACAGCAAGCATCATTTCTGTGAATTAATTTCTAATTTTCCTTGATTTGAGGCAAAGCTGGGGGAGCCATTAAAAAGCTAAAATGCTTCTACTTTTATTTTAACATTGTTAGCTACAGTATGATTCTATTATGTATCAGTTGCACTCTTGAAATCACAGTCCTGTGCCTGGCAATTCTTTGATCAAATAAGAAAAAAAAAAAATCTGTCAGAATTTAAGTATTACTTTCCTGTGTTCTTCTAAAAGCCATGAAAATACATTGAAGAAAATTCAAATAGTTATTCTTTAGGATGTGTCACTTCATTTCTAAGTATTGGTTTGTAGTTATTGCAAGGATTTATGCTTCCAGTCCAGTTTATTACCGTAAATTAGTGTTAGGTCTATGTCTTATATAATCACCTATCTGTTGTGAGCTCCCCCTCTCTGGCCCCTGGCATCTGAAAATACCTTAATTGTGTACTTTTGTGTCTTCAGCACAGCGTGTTTGTTTATCTGCTCTGTGATATGATCACTGCTCTTGTACATTGGCAGTCATCTCTCTACTCATAACTGTTTCTTACACTGCTTATAGGATCTTCCAGATCCCATCAAAGTCAGAAAACCAGGCCTTTCTCATGTTCTTTACCATTGTGATATTACTACAGACATTTCTTTTGAGTTAAGAAATATATGTTAAGGGAGATAGAACAGTGAAAGACATTTTCTTCTCTGGCTGAAAGATAGTGATCTACTTTAACTGCTTCTTTATCTCTGGCTCATAGCATTTAAAATTAACCATTTTTATTGAGTATGAGGAGGTTTTGGATGACACAGACATTGGGAATCAGCAAAAGAAGCTGATAGGAAGATTGAGGTTCATAGGACAATAGCAGCAGTTCTGAAGAGGAGGAGCAGGTGTTACAGCAGAGAGACTGTATTTGATACATGTCATCCCACTTGCTGCCATTTCATTCTGTCTGAGGAAAAAATATGCTGCTCTCCTAATTAGTAATGGAGTATTTTTCAGGAAGTGGCACTAGAGTTTCTATTTTTAAGAAAATTTGCATGTGTTCCTTCTTGCTTGTTTTTACATGAGATCTTTAAGGTCTTGAGGTATGGTAAAGATGACATCCTGTTGAACGCTTTTAACTGAATTGACGCTTGTTTGTATTCTTTTCTGTTCTTGAATGGGCAAACTCTTCTAAGGGTCACAAATGCCTTTTGGAAATATCTTACTTTTCTTGCACTTGCTGTATACAGTTATTATGAAACCCTTGGATATGCAGTATTTGTCAGCAGAATCTAGTTCAGTGTCATCAGTATCTCTCTTTAATGTTTGAAAGATCTGTTTTTAAAAGAGTGCAGGATCTGTAAAGCTGTTGGTCTTGTGGATAAGAGCATTCTAACTTCCAAGCTATTATGCCAATGCTCTTTTAGTAGAGTTGTAGGAGAGATTGCCACCTTGTTTCCGTAGACAGTACTTCTTAGAAAAAAATACAGCAGTTTGCTTGCTTTTCCATCCTTTTTGACCTTACCATTCTTTTCTAGAAGCAATCAATAATAGTACAGTTGTTCTTAAGCTTTGAAGAGGAATTTGTTCATAGTATGCATGGGGCATCTCAAAGATCGTTGTATTGGGGTCTTGACTTGCTAAGTTAATAAATTTTCTTTCTAGCATGTTATATAAACCTCAGTAAAACATAAGCCTCAATTCATTATTGGTTTTTTGCACTTAATGTTCCTTTTAGTTGCTGCTGTTAGCCTGTCTTTCTTTGGAGATGAGGATGATAGCACTGCATTGCTTGTCTCCTCATGTTAGTGTTGTCCTTTCCCATCATTTCTCTGAGACACTTCTGAACTTATGGGCCAGTCTCAAGCATATCTGAAAGGCATTGCAAAGACAGGACTAGAGAAGATCAAGCTCTGTTCCATTGCTTCGTCCTAAGCAATAGTTCATGCCTGCTTCTGGCTATGTTTGTATCACCATAGTCAGTAGTAGTTTAAAAGGGACTTCCAGTATTCCACCTGGGTACTGGTTTTGGCCAGTTTATAAAACTGGTGTGAAAAATACTTGCAAGCATTAAGTAGCACAAAGTGATACAAAAAAGTTATAATGCAATTAGTGTTTCTAGCATTAGTATTTCTATTTTTGAGTGAAAAACAATTTTGCTTGAAATTATCAAAGGATAATTTTCTGTTCTTCGTTTTCTAGTTTTGAACTCAACTTTTAGTTTGGCAGTGTTTGCATAATACCTTGGCTGACTTCTGCAGCTCTGAAAAAAAGAATTTTAGCATGACAAGAATATCTGTGCAAGAAGGACATTTTAAGTCATGATCATTTTGGAAATTATAGTTTTGCTCAGTGATAACTTTTTTTTAACCTGCTTATCCTCTGTCATGGGAAAAAATGATGTGATTCTCTGGCTAATTCACTTTGGTTTTGTGGAAAACACCTGAAATATTCCGAAAGTATTTTTAAAACCAGTTTTAACAATTTTAAAACCTGTTGAGAGGCATTTGTCAAGTTATGGAGCTTCATTCTGTTAAAAGAATGGGGGCTGAAAACTTGTATAAATATTGTCCAGTAAATATAGCAGTGTAAGTAATATTTTTTCAGATGTCTTACTCATGATCACAAATATTTATTACTGGATGTAGAATTATTCTTGTTTGATTACTAAGCAGGCACAATAAATAGCATTTTTTTAGTCTGTGAATAATGCTTACTGATGTGAGCATGCATCATTAGAATTAGGCATAGTACCCGCTGGCTGATTGACTAGGCAGGAAATTTTAATCATGGCTTTGAAGATGTGAAAATTATCTGGTTTCCTGAATAGTCCATACTACAGTCCGGTTTTTCTGCTTACCAAGTAGTATTTTCTTCTAAAAAAATGGGAATAAGCTTGTTTGCAATTTGTGCTGCATGAGCTGTAGTGATGTAGGGGGTGAAGGCAGTTACTGGCGTGAGGAGGTTCCAGGACACGATAAATGCGTTGTTGTCGTTCAGCCGCAGATAAAGACGACAGCTCGGAGGACATCTCGGTGCCCAGCAGCCCGCACACAGAGGCCATCCAGCACAGCTCCGTCAGCACTTCCAACGGCGTCAGCTCCACGTCCAAGGCGGAGGCCGTGGCCACCTCGGTGCTCACGCAGATGGCGGACCAGAGCACGGAGCCCGTGCTGTCCCAGATCGTCCTGGCGCCTCCCTCCCAGGCACAGCCGTCAGGAAGTTGATTAAAAACTTGCGTCGCATCAGTTCCTTAGATACACATCTGTGACTTTAAAGGGAAACCAACAACAGACCAGTCTCCATCTAGGAGAAATTGTAGCTTCAAATTATTGATTTTTAAAAATCCAACTTAAATTGGGCTTTAACGATTGGCAGGTGGAGATAAGACAGAACACCAGTTCTAGTCTCTTTGCAAAAGACTTTTTTTTTTAAGTATTAGTTTTACTAGTTATTTTTTGTGCTTAATGTGTAAAGTGTGTGTACAGTATGATGTGGTTTATTTCATTTTTAATTTGGTATTATTTTAACAAACATTGGGGTGAATTACTGAAGGTCATCCCCAAGACTGTGATAGGAATATTATGTGACATTTTTATACCAAAGTTCTGCATAGTCCCTATTGACTTTGTAAAGTTAGCAAGGTCATAAAGCACTAGGCAAGAGAAAGACAGTAACAGTAAATTTGCTTTTAGTCTTTTTGCCTTTTTGTTGTTTTGCACATTATGAGAGGAAGAACATTGGAAGAAAAATGTTTGGGTTTTTTTATGTATAGCATTTTGGTTGGCTTTTAACTGTTGGGGTTTTTAATTTGTTTAATAGGGCCAGTACAGTATATGAGATACAGTACTTATGCACATACCAATCCTAGATGAGGATCATTATTAAATAGATTTGATTTTTCTTTTTTTTTTTTTTAATTGATATCAGGTGGGTTTTTTCCCACTCCAACACTTGATTCTGGTGGAAGGAGAGCTTTAATTCTCCGGTCAGAATAGATATCTATAACCACCCCTTGTTGCAAGGCTGAAACCAGTAAGCATATTGTAAAATACAGGGTTATCAAATATGGAATACTTGGTATTCCAAGTAGGTTGATATTTTGTGGATTTTTGAGTCGCAGACTAAGGAGTTTACTCATGGTTTTGGATGCCAGAAAAGCCTAAAATCCTTCTTCAGACAACTCGACTTTTTTTTGTCATTGTCTTGTATTTGCAAGCTAACTTGTACTTAATTCTTGTGTAAGCACTGTCATCTTTTAGTAGCAAAAATTTTGATACCTTTCTTGTGGAAAAAAAAAAAAAATCAGTATCTACCGTATCTTGGAAACAATGTAATTATAATGTGGTGTGTGTGGTGTGTGTGTGAGAATGGTTCAGTAGTTAATGCCAGCAGTCTTTTGCTTGAATGTTTAAAGATGCCTTCAATGTGATGCTGGCTGATAGGTGATTGCAGTTTTAAAATGTTATTTACTGTGCGAACTTGGATAACTAACATTCCATGATGTAGTTTGTTTCTGATGAGATGATTGTAGGTACACTTTTTCTCATTATCCAATCATCTGTAGGATATTGAGTTTTTTAAATGTGCCATTATCTATTTTGATTCTGTACTCATGTTCAAAATACAGTACAATATTTTACAATAGATTAAGTTGTTTTAAAAAAAGTAGATGTGTGCTTTCAGGTCGGAAAACTTTGTATAATAGCAAAAACAGATGCATAGTAGCAACTGGCAGTAAAGCAGGATTCCATTATGTATATAACAAAGATTTAATGCATTTATAATGGGTTGTGTAGTTCATTTGCTCTTCCTTCTCCACACTATACCATGCGTTTTTAAGTGTCAGTGCCATCAAATTTCTATTTGGTTCAGTTTTAAATCTAAAAATGTAATTGATCCACAGGAAAATATAATTTCTGCAATATATATACAACCATACTGTAATGAAAACTGGACAAAGAAGTATCTAAGTCATATATGTATCATTGCAGGGCTTTAAGCATGAAAATATTAGGGATTCTAAATATTTTGTATTTTAAAACTAAGAAAGTTGTGTTGATAACCTCATGTGTTTAAAAGTCTTACTTTCCCAGTTTCAAGATAAAAAGCTGTAACAGTTGTTGAACGTTTCCAGGATGGTTAAATACAATGGACCTCTTGTGAGAAAGAAATTATTGCAAAGGCACAAAATATGAATTCTGCAAGAAAGCTCTACAGTCACTTTTCATTGTAGTTTTGGTGGACTAGATGCGGCCTCATTGATTTTACTATAATTTGCGCTCCTAAACACAAAGGCTTTTAAGTCATATAAGTGGAGTTTTTTTATAACAAAACTGTTGCGCTTGTAAAATAAGTCTACATAAGTGTATAGGAGATGTGTAAACAGTTAATTTAACAGTGGGGCTGGAAAAAGAACCATTAAAATCTGTGTTCAGCAAATAGAGAAAAGGTATTAGCCGTACTACCATGGATTCCGTTTTGAGACGTTGTCACACTACTTCTGTACTTAGCATTTTGGGTCTTTACATTTGACATGTTTCACAAACTGTACTGTTTTCTTTTATGTGCAGTTTGCATGAGTAAATCATCAAAGAGAATAAAATCTATCTTTAAGTTATGTTCCTATTTTAATGAAATTATAATTGTTCTAAAAGGCAGCACTGTCTTCAGACTTATTTCTTCATCCTTGCAATTATCAGTGTTTTTCTGGAAGTCATTACTGTAATGTCAGAGTAATGTTATGTAAATGAGAACACGTATATTTCTTGAGAAAATAAGTCAAATACGACTGCTCTGCAGCTGAGTTCGCAGCAGCTCGTGAGGAACAAGCATTGTATCATTAGTTCCAGGAGCCCAAGGTAATCCACAGATAAATGAATTCATAAACATAGCTTGGTGATCCCAGATGTTGCTCAGCTATTCCTGGTTGCCCTGAGTTCCACAGCAAAAGCACAGTGTGTAATCGGAATTTCCACCTAACTTCCAGTTATTTTAATCTTACTTCAGTACACAAGAAGCCAGAAATAACAGCTGTAATCAAATTAATGGCTCACAGTTGTGTTGTCAAAGGTTCAGAAAATATGCCACTCACGCCTGATGTTTAAAATAGTAAAAATCGTTTGGGCTTATTTATGGATGTTGGAAACATGCGTGGAATGGCACATTGTTATCATTTGAAAAGCTCCCCAATACAGAGGGTAAAATTGCTATGTGTCTGCATTTGTTCCATGTATAGACCAAACGAAGTGAAGCTGCACACAACTCTTAACCCAATATGAGAAATATGTGTGAGGTCTTCCTTGCTTCATTCCATTCTTTTTCTGACTCTGAGTTGTGCTAGTGACTCCAAGGGAACAAAAGGCTGCATAACGGGTGCTCGGGGCAAGGGGCATGAGGACTGAAGAACCAATCCACTTAATGTCTGTGCTGTAAAAAGACTCGGGTTTATATCTTAACTATTCAATCTAAGGGCATTTTTCTGTTTACAATGGTAAGAGAGGCTGGGCGAAGGAAGGTATTACACCAAGAGAAGGAGATGACAGTGTGGGATGAGCAGTGATTTTAGCTACCTGAATTACAGGAGTAATTTGCTTAAAGACAGACACAAACATTTTAATTGGTCATCATAAATGATAATGAGGAGAAAGCATAGTGAAATTAAGTGCATCCTAATAAAGTGAGGTATGTTAAATTGTACTGAAGGAAACTTGAGCAATGCTTCTTGACATGATTAATACACTCATGACAATGTGTCTAATGAAGGCTGTTTGTATTTATATGCTGCCTGTTGCTTCCCTCAGTAGAGACATAATTGGAACTGTGCTCATTTACACTGTAGAATAGTCAGTGTAATACTAGCTTGCAGTAGGCTTTACATTTGTTTTTAACCATTGTGTCAAAAGTAGCACAGGTGTGACTTATTTAACCCGTGTTGCGAAATGCTGTGTAGGGTTGGTTGGACAGTTTTATAATGAAATTTTCAAAGCTTCATATTCTTCAATGGTAATTCTCCTTTTAATTTTAGGGTTTAGTGTGACTTTTTTTCTTCTTCTTTTTTTCCCCCTTTCCCCCCCTTCTTTTATGGAATGTAGGATCATGACCTTTCTTTTTCTTTACTTTGTTCCTCTTCAAAATATTTGTGTGATGAGTCCCATAAAGCGCTTACATATTCAGTGTGGAGTTCTTTATTTTTTCATATTGTTTCCTCCTTGGTTGTGTTAACCCTCTATAGTAAACTTCCCTTTCTAAAAGTCAGAAAAGGAATTTCTGCGTACTCTACCGTGTCTTCAACTAAAAGAGATAAGAAAAGCTTACGTTATCTTGATATTTACATCTTCCTAAACTAAGATACATTATAAAATAGATATTTAGGTATTGAAGGACTTCTGAGTGTTACAAAATATTTCATTACAGATGCTGTGCATTACTAATGAGTGCAGGTTGTATGCTGATGCTTTCATAACTCTGCAAAGTACAAGCCTCTCCAAAAAAGAGTTTTTTAACTTTTTATGTGTAGGGTGAGTTACCATCTAATCACATGGGTGTCAGTAGAAAAGACACATAAACTTGATCCAGTTTCTGTAATTATTGTAACCCTTGCTCAAAACCGTTTTCCCTCTTCTATTACCATTTTCTCTAATTACATGTATTCTTATAAGCACTTTATCCTACTCATTTTTGAGGGGAAGAGGAAGAACAGGAGAGGAGGTTCTTAGGTTTTTAGACATACTGCCTGTAACTTAAGCAGGTATGAATTGTTAATCAGAAAAGTGTTGTAAAATCATTATGCAAGGACCATTATTATTTTTAGTCCATAGGTAAAGAAACAGTAGCTTAAGCTGCATAGACTGACTAGAAATGATAACAAGTACAGAAGGTGCAGAACAGCTTGAAGCAAAGGAAAGAAGTCATGCTTCTAAGAGCTTTTCTTTGGTTTTCATACCAATAGCAGGAACAGAGCAGGGCAGAGGGTGGGCAGTGTTTGTAACCACCCAGGGCAGCAGGGCCTGCTAATACTCAGTTTGCAATTCGGGAGCCTGAAGGACAGACTCGGGCTTAGGGAGGACTGTCAGTGCTGGGCTGAGATGAGCTTCAGGAATGAGGGCACTGCCAGGGAGAACTTTCAGGGATTGCAGGTGGCCATGTTTTCCTCTTGCCTGTGGCTATCTCAGTACATCAGAGTACAGGCAGGAGCTATTACAACTGCCTTTCACACCGTCTGTGCCCAGGTGGATGGAATGTGCTGAAGGCTGGTCTGATGGCTGTGTTTAACTACCTGAAAGATGAAAGTTAAGGTCTTTTTTTCCTAATGCCTAAAATGTTCCTGCTCTTGTTTTGCTGCAAGCTAGTGCTGGCACGGTCCATGAATAGTATTTCCCTCCCTTTAGCTGAATCACTAGTTCTAGACCATTATGGGAGGCAAAAATACTGCCTTTGAGAAACAACTGTGCTGCTGCGTTTTATTAACTGAATTATTTCAAAAAGCCTACTAATTTGCTTAAGTTTAAAAAGAAGATCGGAAAATATATCCATCCTACATCTGGGATTCCAATCAGGAGAAAAAGGAGATGAGCAAGGAGAGAACAAGTCCTCTGCCTTAGCAGCAAACAAAATAAACTGCCCTGAATAAACTGAGAACAGGAAACTGAGGGGGAAGACATCTGTACCAAGAAGGTGCTGCATTTCACTGCTCAATTACAGCAGCCCTTTCCTGTGACACAAAGATGCAATCTATGAAGATCTGTTTATTCCAAACGTTGGAAGTGATGTGGGAAATGTTTTGACCTCACTTGAGGTAAGTAGTATAAACATCCTGTTACTCCTACATAATGCCGTGTTGAGAAAGATACCCTTAAAGGTGATATAATGTATAGTACAGTCGTTCTGGCTGCCTGTAAAATGCCAAGAGACTTTATAGTCAGACTGACTATGATTTGCAAACAAGGAAAAGGCTAATATATCAGTTTTCTTGCTTTCTGTCCTTTTTTTCAGCACAATTGCTGCAGAGGGCTAATGATTTTTGTTGAAAAAAATACATAATCCTTGTAAATACCGAGGACATGCTGTATATTTCACTGAATGACATTTTGAGCAGTTGCTCATTTTGTTGACTATTTAATGACTCTTAAGCTATTAAGTTTACAATTTATGACTTGAATATATGTGTGCATATGTAAAATATTTCTTTATCCTGTATCTATTTACCCAAACTTCTTTGAGTCCTGATTGTAATAGGACTTTTTCTTCTCTAAATTATGCAGCACTCTCTTGAATGCTGAGTAGGAAGGTTGCTGGCCATAGAGCCTTGAGCCCTGTTCCCAGTCACCATACAACCAGAATGCTATTTCTGAGCTGACAGCAGGGTTGTATTTGTCACATATGGCAGGGCACTGGCTTATTGGGATGGAAACACATTATACTGACTTGGATGCTTCCCTTATATTTTAAGTACCAGTTTGTTATAGAAATTCTGTACTTTTCCTTGTTATAAAGGTCTGGCAAAGTTCTTTTGTTTCAAGAAAGAAATTCAAAATCTTTACCCACTCTTGTAATTTAATGTCTAGTTTAGGTTTTGTTGGTTTTTTTCACATACTGGATAAGGGCACAAACCCCTCCTTCGTGGAACTGCACTTTATAATGTGTCAGGCACTTAGACGTGTTCTGGGGGGTGCATAAATTCCACAGGTCTTGTCTGTTGAAGAAAATGTCACCCCTTTGTCAGAGTTGTTACAGTCTTTCACAGATTGAAAATTTTCGGTTTGACATGTCTACTGATTTATTATAGTCCAGTTTTTGTTGCTGGAGAATAGTACTAAGCTAAATTTTGACTAAAAAAGTGCAAGTATATAATTACTAAAACAACATAAAGCTGTTTAAAGTGTTGCAGCACACAATTTCTTAAAATATTTGACTTAAAGCAGCTTTTCTATATTAACAACTTCAAAGACGCTAGTGCCTGTTTTATGAAGAGGCCAGGATTAATTTTATCTTATTGAAGTAAGGTTCCTTCTATAATGACTCTTTTCCAAGCAAGTATGAGAGCAGGATCTGATTTAGCCACTGCTAATGACCGTCAATGCTTCTGTCATGTCTTCATGTCTAAGCATAATTTAGTCAAAGAAAATCTGAGCAGTGCACAGACTTGCTGTGCATCATCATGTACAGTCTCCTTTCTCCTGCTGCAGAGTAAGGGAAATACTCCTTGGTTTAATCTGGCACAGAGGTTTACAGATGCCGAACAATACCGTGTTAAACAATGCCACCTACATGTCATCGCAGGTTGTACCCAGCAGAGCTTCATTGCACCTCTGGGTATGATACATAGTACCCTGTAGAGATTAAAAACTTATATCATTACAGCTTATACAAGCTGAAACTAAAACACGGAAAAGTATGTTAATAAGTGAATGTTATTAAATTATTATTTCATAATAAGAAAATTGTAACAGCTCTCTTCCTGAATGGAAACTTTTTTTATACTGCAATCTGTTTTAAGGATTTATCCAAAAATAACACAGGAAATACTGTATATAGTTACTGGAGCGAGGCATTTCTGGCAGATTTCCATGGCATACTCAAAGTCTCTGACCTGGCCTACATTTGTCTTTCATTTAAAGTGTGGAAGAAATTTTTGGTAAGTGCTGACAACAGCTCAAACC